AATTGCAATAATTCAGGAGAGAGATGCTGGTAGCTTAGATGGAGCTGTAACAGTAAAGTAATGGGTGAAAAATGATGGCTGGATTCTTGCTGTGCTGATGGAGCAGAGTTAGTGTAAAAGAAAGAGGAGAGGGACTGAAGGAACAGTTTTATGAGAACAAAGAAGAGGAAGAAAGAGGAAGGAAGTAGGTGGATATCTAGAAACGGGCATGCACAAAGGGGCCAAGACCATCCTTAGGCTTCCTCTGGAGAAATTCCCTGGAGGTCAAGCAAAGAACTCCAGGATTTGATTGCCTGAGGAGCCAGCCTGTGATTCTTGGATCCTAAATAAAACTTGAACGTGAATTTATACTGGCTGCATTTCTTGACTGTTAAAATCTGCTCACCCCAAAGTGAAGTTTAGTTGTATGGCCAACCCACTGTGAGTGAGTCAGACTGGCAGCCTCAGTTGGGAAGTTGGATGGAAGAGGAAGTGGAAGGAAGTGTCATGATGGTCTGAGAAGGAGAAAGTCTCACCTTCTTTTGTCCCTGATAATGGTGACTCTGAGAGATTAAGTCGTGGCTTACAGGGCATGAATGAGATCGCGTGTAGAATAGACGTCGCTTTTCCCCAAACCCAAATTTCACCATACAAAGGTTAGGTATATTATTTGCATTTGAGTGCTTTATTATATTGGAATTGCAGTGATATTAACATTTGTACAAATGCACAAAATCTTGTCTCTTCTTGCTAAAAAGAGATGTAAAAATCTGACCTAGTTGAACAGTCTTAATGAACTCATTGTCCATTGGTAACAATAATGTGTTCACTATGCAACAAAAAGCTTAACATAAAATTAAACATATTAAATGCTGCAGCAAATATTTACAGGTATGTACCCCAAAATTGTTTTCTCCTTCCAGTAAGGAAGGTGGTTGCTTTACAAATAGACAAACAAACACAAATGCTTTGCTGTTTACAATTACAAACAACCCCCCAGTCTAGAACTTAAAGTGACAGCACCTTTTTGGGGGGACTTCCTTAGTTAACACTTACTTTGTACAATGCTAAACTTTTCTCTTTTAGTTCTCTTTTTGCACAATATCTATATTCCAATTGCCCTGGAATATTGTGTTTGAACCAAGCCATTTTTTTTTTCTGGGCTTTTCCAGAAGATCCCAAACCCCATGTCCTCCCCAAGGAGAACATTTCAAAGCTTATTTTTTCTTCCAGACAAGCCTCAAAGGCAGAAGCCCTCTCTCTGTGAGGCAGGTGTGATTTAGCAGAACATAGAAGGAAAGAGGGTAGGTAGGTCCTTTTTTTTCTTTTTCTTTTTTTTTTTTACTGGCCGGCTGGCAAGGGTCCTTTCTCTGAATGCCCTCCACTTCAGCACTGGGATACCTTTCTCGACCTCCTAAGTGTCCAGAGCACTGGCATTCTAAAGGAGCACACCAGCCTGGGGAGCTTAGTGTGATATGACTTTAACGATGCACTTAAAGCTACTTCATTCAGGCTCCACATTCTCTGTCCTGAGGCTACCATAACTCTGTAAAAAGAAACGTTCTATAAAGTTTTATAATATGAAACTCAATGCAAGAAATTCTCAAATGGCTTAAGAAGAGCTTCCTAAATCCTAACTACTACTGAGTTAGATACTGTAAGTTGGTCTACATTGAACGGCTGATAATGATTGGTTCCCTCTGATGATAAGCTTGGAAAGGTATCAGAGTGCCATGGAAGAATATTCATCTTGAAACGAATGCTGGCAATTTGGCCTTACCCCCCTCTTCAATGTGTGGTTAAATAGTTTTTATTTAAAAATAGACAATTTATAAGGAAAAAATATATAAACACTCTTTAAGCAATTTGGCTATAAGCATTACATCACTGAGAAACTCCACAAGAAATAGTAAAATATTTTGAATGGACATACACTTTTTTATTTTCACAACACGATGAGCGAAGGTTTATTTTTTCTTTTCTTTGTTTTGGTATTGGAGTTTACTTGTAAGTTTATTGCTTCAGTGTCTTCTTGTCCTTTCTTAGATTACAATTATAAAATAAAGGCGCTGTCCCTAATTTTGTTACAAGGCAACGTTGCATTTTTGAGACCTAGGAATGGACTAGAAAGGACCACTGCTATTTCAGCAGCCTCAGAGAGACCATGGCTAGGACAACAGTCCATTGTGCACCATGATGCGCACAACAACAAGTCTCCTGCTCGTTCAGGACACTTTGGTTCGGAGGATAAGATAGAAAATTCTTAAGTGTAGCTTAGCTGCTGCCTCACATCTGTTGCATAATATAACACTTTACAAAAACATGCTGTGAATAAAGGTAGAGTATAAACTGGCTCTTCTGCGCATTCTCGTAGCAGGCTTCATCTAGGCGATGTGAGCAGCACATCTTCGCTAGGCTACTTAGGACCACACGCAAATGTACCTGGTGCAAATATTACGTAAAGTATGTTAAATGATGCAGCTCAGAGCCTGGGAGGAAAGGGTGGGGTTCAGTGAAGAGGGAAGAGGGAAGGCAAGCTTGAGGACAGGGTGGAGGTTCAAGAGAGAACAAGAGAAAGGGATCAGAAAAGCTAAAGTGCAACTTTAAAATATAAATTATTTTAAGCAAAAGAGAGGTTCTAAATTGCTACTGTTCGCATAGGCACAGTTTTATTCAAATTTAAATGGGTTGTTTCCTTTTCCTTCTCAGATAGACTGCATAATGGCGTTGAGTGGCTTAAAGCTACTGCATTGTTTGAGAAGGGACACAAAGAGCACTGAGAGAGCTGAATAGTGCAAAGCACTCTGGGAAATTGGGGTGGGGTGGAGAGACACAGAGATGAAGTTGTTTTTACACTTTTACAAGAAAGTGTTCCAGTTGTAGTTACTGATTCCCTTTAGCTGAACTGTGCTCCCTAAAGGGGAGAGCTTACTTTACACATGCACAAAGGGATAAATGTTTTTGTTTTTTTTTAAAAAGCTGTTCAGAACACAGATTAAAAAAATAACTCACAGAGCAATAATAATCCTTGATATTTCTATGCAAAGAGGTCCAAGCAAACATTTCCACCAAATGATGGAGCGCAGCCATTGAAACCCTGAAAAATGAGGCTACATACACTAGAGTAGTTTATTATGAGCTAATACTTTAAAAACAAGTAGATCCTACAGAAGAATACTGTTCAAATGGAATGTTTAAAAATAACATTTATTAATAAATATCTTATAAAATTCTAAATTAATAGATTCCTGTTCAAATTTTGCTTTGGTCCTTGACTTCCACTGTATACACACATACATACATATATATTTTCTTAGATGATCTTTATTAACCAGAAAGCACATTCTATTCTAACCGAATGGCTAGATTTATAGCTGTTACTGAAGCTTAACCTACCCCACCCCCAGCCCAGGGCTGGTCTTTCACTGCAGCTAGTTTAAGATTTCAAATGACGAATCAACAGACACACTCAAATGTGCCTCACTAACAGGCAACAACCACCTGAACGTTCACCATCGATGCCCCTCTATTGGGAACTTGCTGCGTTTGACCGAATAGGCTCCAAAGAGCATTTGCCCCAAGTCAGTCACCCTCATGCTAACCACGCAGTGACAGCACATACCGGCTCCTACAAGCTGTGCTGAGATGGTGACTTGAGGACATTGACTTGGAGGTGGGAGCAGGGTGGGTGGGAGGGTATAGGGAAGACTTCTGACCTAACGCCTGGCTTTGAAATAAGTGCATTCATCCAAGGCTAGGATTTCCACCAGACCTGTCCCTGCCTATGTTGTTAAGGAGAAACAATGCAGATGTGGATGCCTCAGTTTCGGGGAGGATTCAGCGGGTAGAAACACTACTAGGTGTACTTTTCGAAGGTGTTAACTCCCATCACAAAAGGCAGGGGAGGAAAAAAGTAGAAATTTCCAGGTAGGCTGGCAGTGACTTCAGAAGCACATCCTGCCGATAAAAATATGCCAAGGGAGCGAGGAGGGCAACGCTGCAGAGCCCTCGGGGTAAATGCTCTGAAGATCACTGCAACCGATTCATGAAATTATGGAGGGGTGACCAGTAATTCAGTGGGAGAGAAGAATGGGGGAGAAAGACATTTTCCCAGATTGGCAAAAAGTGTAGGGCAAGAGGGAGGACTGATTGTTCCATAGTCCGGAGAAAGCTGGGCCTTCAAGGGAAATCACTTCATATTGATAAGCCGAGTGTTGGATGTGACCAATGAGCCTTTCTGTTTGGGATTTCAAGCCCTGAGAACGCGCTGGCATCTTCCATTGACTGTTTCCACATTGCTAATGAACACACCTAACGGCCCTGCGTGTAACAAGAAGACAGTTCCTTCTAATTATACGCTGAGGCCCGTTGGCCAACGTGTGTGGCTGGTTCGCCTACTTAGCATAAAGAACAGACATAATTGAGCTATATATAATGCACATCAGTCAAACTGTCAAGTTGCTGAATTAAGGAAACTCAGGCAAGTTCTTAACTGCAGAGGCTTTGGGTTTAGCAACTAAATATTTCAGTCAAGAGGTGGAACAACTGTAAACCATAATTTTAGTGACAACCCACTCCCTGGACATTCTGGTATCACCAGTGGATTTTTTAAAAATCCATTTCATAAGTGCTATGCATGCAGTAAAGAAAGAAAAGTTTTTGTTTACTTAAAGCAAAAAAATAAAATTAAAAAAACCCCCAAACAAACATTTCAATGAGCTCTTTTTCCTTTGTAGAGGGACACATAGATAGTCCTAGGCAGGAGTTATGAAAAAAATTATTTTTCATTTCAATAAAGAGATAAGAATGTTAACTTCTTTTTTTAGCTAAATCTTCAATGTTTCTTAGGAAGCCAGTTAGGTTAAACCACTCAACTGTTACTGCTGGGATTCAAAACAAGACAAAACAAAAAACAACTTTGAATTCAGTATTTAAAATACTTAAAAATGATATGTTCGTCTAAAATATAATAGAAAATCCTTTTTGTTTACATTTTTCTTTTTTTTCCTTTTCTTTTTTTTGTTTTCTTTTTTTTGTTTGTTTTTGCTTTGATTTTTAGACCATATATCCAAGTCATGAGTTTCACTGGATACTCAAAAGTTTCTTTCAAAAGCACTGCATACATGAAAAGATTGTTGATAAATATTGATTTAAAAAGTAAGTTAGTAGATAAAACTGAAACTAGTTATAAAAATCATGCTTCACAACTCTCATATTTTCTTTTTTCTCCAAAATAGATTCTTACACTCTAGTGAGAGAAAAAACACACACGTCCTTCCTTTTTCTGAACTCTTATAAAAGCTACACCTTTTGTAAAATACTATTCCTTTAAATCCCATGAACACACACACACACACACACACACACACACACACACACACACACTCATGTTAGGAGGTCAAGCATTCAAATGGAGATGAAACACCAGCACCTGTCTAGACTGCTAAAGAGAAACATTAGCCTGGTTATTTGTGAGATGTGATATTAAAACATTAGCACAGTAGAATGGCTTGATTCAAGGAGGCACAACTGTGGTTTGGAACTATCTGCTTTGTATAATGGGCAATTCCACAAAAGTTGTTGAAAATGTAAATCAGAATTGTTCAGGAGAGTGGAGTAGCCATGTCCATGGGGTCCTTTCTTTCACTGCCGTGGGAGGGCGGGAAGTGCCCCAATGGAACATTAGGTTTTCTTTCTCTCTTTGTTCCTCCACTAGTTCATCTACTTTCACCCACCAGAACAGCAAAGCTGGTTCCATAGGCTTAAGAAAAAACACACACAACAATAAATCTTAGGCTATTAGTAGCTGATGACTGAACAATGTAATTTGTGTAGTGAATAGAGCCCTTCTGAATTATTATATAGTACATGGGTTTTTGACGTTATAGACAGGCCATATAAAACCAGCTGTGATTTGAGGGTGTGATGTTTTAGCCTCGCATCATGATTTGGACTTTCACAATCGAGGCTTACACGGCTCCCTTCCCTAGTGTCTCCACAGCTGGCACTCAACAGTGCTTCACCTATGGCTAAGCCACTTTTTATTTGCTCTGATTATTAAAAACATTAAATCAGGCACATTAAACATCTCCTGGTTACTATTTTGTAAGAAGCACGAGTTGAATGAACTCCAGCTGCGGGTCAAGGGCAAGGGAAGCAATGGCTAGGTCCACATTGCTGAGGTTTGCTTTTATTTTTTTCTTTAAACATTATTTTCTTCTTTACATGCAATGCTCAAGGGGGAAAAATAAAGCAGAAGAAAGTAAAGATATAGAGTAAACAGGGAGCCCAGCAAGGAGTGGAAACGGAGAAGGAAGTGGGCATTGGAGGAAGTGGGCCAAGGGGAGCAGGAGGGGTGGGGAGATGCCTGGTGGCGTTATTTGGACACCAATGGATCTTACGCTTTTTATAGTAAGAGAAACAAAGCTGTGGAAAAGGCTCTGTGTTTATCTGGGATTCTGGTGACATCACAGCACAAGCTCAACACGGACTATGATGTCATCAGACATCTCACCCAGTTGCCTTGCATCTGTTGACATCTAAGCATGCCTCATTTTGACTATAAGCTGCGGCTTAACAAGAGTCAATGTCTCAGGCAAAGGGTTGGACTGCTAATGAAACCATGACTATATACAGAAAGCATTCAGTTTATAAACATGTAACTGGTACCAGAAAACTGGAGAAAAGCACCAAAGCATTTCCCAAGCTGATAGATAGTAATTGCATAACTCCCTTTTTTCTCATAGAACTAAGTATAAAAGACAACATTTCCATGATGACTGTAAAAACGAAAGCCAGTCTCTGAAGAGCTGAGGAGTCTTCCAGGTCTGAGTTAATTCTAAAAATGCCCTTCAAGGAAAGGACGCATGGGACGCGGCAGCTCTTCTTGGAGGCAAGGTCTGAGCCCTGGTTTTTAAAGGATCGGATTCAGGTCTGTTCTGTGAGTGGTGAGCTGGCTGAGGGTGGAGCTTCCCACCACCTCGCTGACCGCCGAGGACGTGGTGATGGTGTTATGCTGGATGACCTGCTGCTGGGAGCAAGCGGGGACCGGGCTCGCGGGAGGGCTGCTCTCCGGACCTAGGAAAAAACACACACACACCCCAATGTAGCTCTTTCCTGGGTGACTTGTGGACTACTCAAGTCTAGAAAAATACTATTAGACGATTACTAGAAATAGAAGTGTTTTCACACATGTTCTCCTGGGGGTTAATTTCAGAACTTTAAACGGTAGTCACAAAGCTATGCCTTCCCAGTTTAGAGCTACAAGCAAAGCCATGCTTTCTAGATCAGCAGAATGGTTCGATGTGTTTGAGTCTCGGGATGTGACGTTCCCCACCTGGTATTTTCAAATAGCCGTCCATACATCAAATGTGGAAAAATACTCACATGTGGTGGGAGACTCTGTGTTGCTCAATCTAAAAAATTATTTGAAAATAAATTGACCTTCAGCCATGAGTCCCTGCACCTCCCACCCCCACTACTCGACTAATAGTTAACCAATATACTGACATTCCAGCTGCAGAACTTGGGGTCTAAGAAAAGGGATCCACTTTATGTATTGATAAACTGAGGCAAGGTCACCAGTTTTTTAGCTCAGTGAATAACATGCTGCGTATCCTGAGGCATTGGATGTGATACACCCAAGGCCTGTTTGCCAGCCCATGGATTTCTCTGGAAGATTGCTAGCCCACGGTAATTGGGCGCTAGCAGGCCATTTTTCTACTGGTTGCAGAGTTGGAATTTGGTAGGGTTTTACAATGTGAAATGCCAGGGAAAGTCTAGCCAGAAATTATAGGGAGGTGGTGGGCATGGTGATGCCCGGGGGTTAGAAAAGAGGCCTGCCTCTGGTGGCATTGTCTGGCAGCCGTCCGAGTTCTAGTGTGTCTGCCTGGATGTACAACCTACACTTTACTCTTGCTCTTTCAATACAATTGAATGCAAAATTAGAGGCAAAACACTGAACATTAAAAACAGCAAGAAAGTCAATGACTTACTTAGATATCCTTGCGACTCTTTCTGCATGGCTGTTATTGGGCAATCTTTATGCGTTAGCAACAACTGTTTCAGCTGCGCCACCTCGTTTTTCAACATAGACACTTCATTCTGGAAAGAGACGTAGGAGAGCCAGGTTGAGAAGACCAGTGAACACAAACCTAAGGCCCCGTGCACTTCCAACAATGAAATTGGTGAACTTTTCTGTTATGTCTGAATGGCATTAAGAATATTACTTAACAGGATTTGCCTGGAAATGTGTAGCTTGCCTTCACTTTGGCCCTCGCGTTTTCCCGGGACTTTCTGCAGAGGCTAGGTTTCCATTCAAGAGCTGGGTCCTAGCAAAAGTGCAGAGTCCACCGCTTAGGTTTACTCTGGGGCCAGGTTCCTTGGGTGGGAATCTCCACTCTACACTCACAAAGGGACTCCAGGCAGGTGATGTAACCCAGTGAGCTCCAGTAACATTGTTTATAAGATGGGGATCAGAACAGCACAGAGTTCTTTGAGTTGTCGTGAGGATTAAATGAGGTTGTAGATGTAAAACACTCAGAACAATGCCTAGCACATAGTAAGCACACAATAAAATTTAGTTACGGTAATTATCATCTTTACACTGTCTGACAAGGTCAGGTTGATGAGAAGGTGAATGTGACGCAATGGAAGACTTGTAGGGCTTCCATCTGAAATACCCTCAGGATAAGCTGACCAATCTACCACCAGATTTCCCCAAACTTCCAAATGGGCTATAGTTCAACAGAGCACATCCCCTGCCTGACGCCCACTTAGCAGGAGGCATGGAGGCACCTGGCACAAATATTGGTTCTGGATGGTGGGTGAGGTCAGCCCAGGGAGGCATGGGGCCATGAACTTCTGGATCACGATAGAATTAATTTCATGGGTTCATTAACTAGTTTGGCTAATTTCAGTCTATAAAGTCTTCCTCTGCGCCCCTCCCCCTCCCGCCATCAGCAGGGTGTTGTGGTTTGTATGTGAATTTTTCTTATTCACTTAAATACATGCCTTAGATCTCCACTTAATGTGGTAATTCAAACGACAAGCCCATGACTTTGCAGAATAATTTACTTGGCACCATTGCCTACAAATACTTAGAAGAGATGGTTGGTTCCAAGGTGCTTCCACTTGATAAAAGTAAACTAGAAACATAGCACTATCTCAAATAAGCCATTTTACAGTTGTGATACATAACACCCTCTCTCCGGCCTGTGCTCATTAGTGGCTGCCAGGCATTATGCTCATAAGAGACGTTAAAGAAACACGCACACAGGGAAGGTGTTTTAACATTGCTGTCATTAAGTTGTAGCTACACTTTCAATATGAGCTTGGCTTTCCAGGCATGTATTTATCACCTAGAAAAGTAAGTTTGGGATTCTAGAAGTTAATTAAAAATTTTTTTTGAAACTTGTTTTAAACAATACCTCCCATTTCCACATTCATTAGCAAAATACATTATAGGCAATCAAATGTTGAGTAACATAAATAACAAAAAAATTTCATTTCAGAGTTTTTCTTACTCCCTTTCAAATTTACAAAAAAAAAAGATCTATGGAAGAAATTAGCATTATTAATGAATAAATCACTTCATGGCACAGGAAAATTGCTCCTAAATCTGAGAACAGTCAGCAAGGTGAATTTTACCTCCTGCTTCCAAATGAGTGTGATTGATCAGGGACCCTGTCAAAACCAAAAGTGACCCTTGTCAATTCCGGGGTCAGTGGGACAACTTTATTTATAGGACAATTTATTTTAGCCCTAAACACGAATTCTTTTCTCTCTGATTTCATGCCCATTTAAATTCAGACAGCTTCCCCTGCTTGTACCAGCTACCCCTCTGCTTAAAATAGCATGTGTGAAGAAAGCTACTTCTAGATCATTATATAGAAGGCAGCCCCAGGTTAAAAACAACAAACAAAACAAAACTGAAAAGGAGAAAAAGAAACCTAAATGTGTGAATATCGAGCCCAGCTGCCAAATGTCACATAATTCTCAGTGGGACTACAGAAATGACCCCTTTCTGAAATGACAACTGCTGGACACCTGCCCCCCAAGAAGAAACTCTCAGCCACAGGCAATGCAGACAAAGGTGCTAAGAAAGTGGAGTCAAGTTTCAAGTTTTAGTGCGTCCACCCACACTGTCCTTCTGTGACCTAGGAAACAACAAATAAGGAAAGTGTTTCCAACAAAACCCAACAACAGGACTTTCTTGCTTTCTTATGCTTCGGGGAGAAAGAAAAATTCCACTTTGTGGCCCTCTCAAAAGCTTCATCTTGGTCTCCACTGCTTCCCCCACGATGCCCTGGGCAGTCCCCTGTCTAGGCAGGTTCAACTTCCCAACTTCCCAGGCACGGAGTGTTCTTTGCCCCTTCCTTAGGAAAACACTTGGAATTCCGTTCTCTGGGTTTCTGCAGTTGCAAGGAGCTAACTGCCCACAATTCTTGGCACACCCCAAATCATTTCACAATAAACCTTTTGCTTCCATGAGAGGCCACGATAAAACAGCACCAATCACCACTATGCACATGTGGTGTCCCTGACTATAACCGAAGCCCCATACAGAACATATGACTGCAGTGGCATTTTTGTCTGTAGAGAGCAAAGCACTTTATTAATAAATCTGTATGTTGTAAGTATAGAAACTGAGGCCCTAGGAGTTGTGAAGGTTTGTAAAAATGTGGGAACTTGGAAAGTACTGTGACAACTGGCCATCATTTAAAGATATGTGTGGATATGGACATATTTCTTAATGTAATGTGTTAGTAATTATGTTATTTACTAGTAGCTATGTTGTGGTTGGGAAATGAATGGCGATTAATATTCTCGGTAGAGAAAAACAATCAGTCTCTTGTCTAGCCCATACACACATAATTACGATGCTGATAAGGACTAAATAAAAGTCTAATGGCCACAGAAATTCATGGGGCAAGTTTCCAGCGGAAAAGAAACTCTCAACTGCAAGTTAAGAATAATAGGGTTTGGCGTCCCAAGCTGCCTCCCCAACCAAATGTAAAACAAGATGGTTGGACTAGTTCTCTAGTTCTTTCCTGCAAGGTAGGTCCTTATTCTATGAGTGTTTCTGTGTTTCCTTCTATTGAGAAAGTTAATTGCCTAATAATCTAATGAAGAACTCAATCTTGACTTTTTAGTCGTTAGGTAACTACTTTTGGTATTCTCAAACATGCTTATCTTTTAAGTCTCATATTTTCTATGGGAGCCAGTTGTAGCACCTCCTATGCTTCTAAATCTTATCAGATTCCAAAGCAACATTAATAGTTTCTTTAATGCAAAATTTGGTGTCCGTGTCCGTGCGTGTGTGTGTGTGTGTGTGTGTGTGTGTGTGTGTATTGTTGAGAGTGTATAGAGCATCCGTGGGCAAACTACGGCCCGCGGGCCGGATCCGGCCCGTTTGAAATGAATAAAACTAAAAAAAAAAAGACCGTACCCTTTTATGTAATGATGTTTACTTTGAATTTCTATTAGTTCACACAAACACTCCATCCATGCTTTTGTTCCAGCCCTCCGGTCCAGTTTAAGAACCCATTGTGGCCCTGAGTCAAAAAGTTTGCCCACCCTTGGATAGAGCCTTCATCAGAGTCCATGATGGAGGCTGCTGGGTAAGAAATGTCAAGATTGGCTGTCCTGGAGAAAGCAGAGTGGATCCTGTGCTGTGCACATGCATAATTGCCCTACAGATTCCGGATCGATAGCCTGACAGGTAGGAAATGCACAAATACCAGACTCTCTTTTAAACAAAAAGCCGTCCAAGGTAACATAAGTAGGATCACCTTGAATTCATTTAGAAAGAGAACAACCAGATAGCAAATGTTTTGAAATTCATGAAAGAAATCAATGCGGCCTGCAGCTCTAGGGAAATAAAAACCAGGACCTCTGCAGGCATTTTCTTACTCTGAGTTACCTTGCTTTATAAATTGAGGCAATTCACCATTTTTTTTCTTTTTGATTCCCTGTGTAGGTTATAATAGTGTAAGGTCTTCATATAAAAGTACTTTGAGAATGCAGAGTAGTACTAATCAGTACTGATTCTCCTGCTGAAATCAGCCCATCTTAGCTGGTTTGGGTTTGCTGCTGAAATATTCAGCCATTTAAATAGAGACTGTAAGAGGGTAGACGAAACATTATTGGATTAATCTGTTTTTAAATCCATCAGTTGCCTTGGGATGAAGTAGCGCCCCCTACGGAGACATTCAATCCTATAATAATATACTTTAAATAACTACTCCAAGAAGTCCCTCAAAGCTACACTTGCAGTTTTGAGCTTGGGGGATGTCATTCTGTTAATATGATAAACCCAGAATGCTTATTGATGCAAACAGTAGTCTGTGCCAAAAACATCAAATCAAATCAAAATGGGCTCTGCAATATAGCCCCTCCCCCACTTCTTTTTGTAGATTAGCTGAAGCCAGGTTTGGTTCATTCCGAAACAAAGGACTTTCAATTTGTCTAGCAACAGTTCCCATCTGGCCTATTCTCTTGCCAAGTCCCAAACCTGGGCTCATGTGTCTAAAATTTCAGCAGCGACTTAGGCCATGTGTCTCTGTACTAAAAGAGAAAAGCAATTATTTCAGTGGGTGACCAGATGATTTCCATATCATGCATCGAACACAAACAGTCTACTCACGGAGCCCCACATCAGCAGCTGAGGAATTTAGAGCTGATCTTAGCTACTCTGTCAGAGAAAAGAATGTGAATATCTTTAGTTTCAGAACTTTCTAGAATAAAAGGTCACAGAGCAAGAGGGATTAGGTCAAGAGAAGACTTACTTGGGTCCTCATCCTGCTACTGGCTGGTTGTGTGACCTGTGGGAAGACTCGTCACGTCCCCTGAGCCTTAGCTTCTCCCTAAACAAAATGTCAGATTGGGTGGAGTCTCCCATTTCCCTCAGTTCTATACCTGCGCTGACCTCTTGGGTAGAGATGTGTCAGGAGGCAAGGAAATGAGGTCTGGGAGTTTGACTTTGTTTTCTTAGGTCTGATTTTTCCAATCTGAAACTCTGCAACCTAACTAGAAGGTTCTATGCTGGAAAACAACTCAAAAGTGGCAGCTGGCCATCCAGACCTTGGATATTCCATTTGGCTGGAGTTTGTTTGCTTAGCACCTTCCATTTCTGTTTACTTAAAATTTGGCTCACTGAACCAGCGTCAAGAGAGACACCTTTTTCTTCTGACAAAGGTCCACTGAGAGGGAAAGGGTCACTCAGAGGTAGCGGGATCTGCTACCCTCTCCGGCATCACAAGGCGTGGGGCAGAGCACCCACCAGCACAGAAAAAGGCAACGGTGTGGTTTCTGTCCCTCTGAACCAAGCCGTGGCTGGAAAACATCAACAATGCAGGCTTTTCAGAGACAGCCCCTTCCGTGGGCACTGCTTCACCAACCCCAAATCTTGGTACCGGTTGGTTGGTTGATTTTCAGGGACAAGAATTCTAACATTTCTTTTCATTAGCCATGCTGGCCCTAAAGAAATGTAAAAATTCATGGATTAGGGTCCGTAAAGGGACCCTTATCTGTTTTGTAAAAGCAATAATATACATGCATCTGGCCAAATCATGAACACATCTGGCCTCGAGGTCCATGGCATCTTTACTTTTCCTGGCTCTCTGCTGGGACCCTCCGTGTTCTCATGCTCTAGGACCACAGTCAATGCCTGGAGTCATTCTGCAAGGACTCATTTTAGTGGAAACTGATTTAAACATTTGTTGGCATCTGATCCATGCCAGCTGGCTCCTTCGTCTAAGGCAGTGGTTTCGACCTGGGACGATTTTGCCCCCGCAGAGGACATTTGGCAACACCTGGAGACTTTTTGGTTGTCGCAAATGGGGGGTGGCGTAGAGGGTGCTACTGATATCCAGTGGGGAGAGATCAAGGATACTGCAAAACATGTGCAACACACAGGATACAACAGAGAAGTACCGAGCCCAAAAGTCAACATTGTCAAGACAGAAACCCTGCAGATTTTCACGGTCTTCTTGCAGACCTCAGACCTGGTAGCAAATTTAAAGGCCTCCCAGCCGTTGGTCAGAGCGGCACCATGGCTGTAATATTTGCTAGGTCCACATCCACCGGGACTCTTATTTACTTAACATGTTTGTACGAATTAACTCATTTTGTAATGATTTAGCCTCATCCTTACCAATAGGGTTTGTGAAATTGAAGGTTTGATGTTCTAATGACATTTTTCAATACACATAAAATAAAAATGAGTACTATGAGTATTAAGAGTGTTTGTCCACGTTCTACCTCCTCGCATGCTACTGTGCCTGCCAGATTCTAGAATTACAGATTCACAGGCTGGAGTGACTCTGGAGGTGTCTAAGTCCAGCCATCCCACTGTGGCTCCACTCCCTTCAAACGCATTCCTGCCAAATGGCCAGGCAGCCAGCTCTTGGGGCACTCCAGAGACAGGGAATGCATTCACTTATTCAACAGATGCTGAGTGCAGACACTCAGAATTCACCATGCTAACGAGACACTAGGCTGGAAATGGGGAGGTAGGTGGTGGGGGAAGGCAATGAGACATAGCCCCCACCTTCATATAGCATAAAATATTGGGAGGAATAATTATAATTATTGTTTTATTTCCCTCATATCTGCTCTACATGTTTCTCAGGTTCTTTCTCATGTCTATCACACAAAGAATGATACATTTAGGGGGAAGAGTGAACATCCATTAATTATGATATTCAGTCCATGTATCACCCAAATTTTCTTTGTATATTTTCAACTTGTACATTGGATGCCCCAAGGTCATTCCCATTCATGGAACTGTATATGCACAGGCTTTGGGGATTTGGCACCCTAATTGCTCCTTTCTAAGGATGCACAGAGAACCTGGAATGGGAACGGAAGGTGACCTATGAACTTCTGAGAAACAGCTCTTCCCCAGCTGGGGCAGCCTTCCTCTCCTTCCCTCCTCTTCAGCCATCTCTCAGCTCCTGGAAGTGCTGGGCTATCACCCATGGCTCTGCCCCTGGACTGCTGGTCACATCTCTTTAGTGCCTTTTCCCTGCTGTGAACAGGGTGCTGCTTTCTGTGTCAGAACAAATGCCCCGAACTCATCATTTCTACAGCGCGTATCCGCTGGAGAAGCCCCGGCCCTGGCGTTTCCCACCCTTCTCTCAAAATGCTCCTGAAGTGGCCTCTAAAATGTCCCCAGTGGAGCCACCCCTGGAAGGAACAAATCGTGCAAGATTAAAATCTCAAGTTTGAAAATGAGAGAGAAACATGTCTCTTCTTATAGAGCTAAGTAATAAACAAGAACCTCCCTTTCCTCCTTTAAACAAAAATATAGATAATCCTGTGTTAGCCAAAGCAACCCCTCACTGGTGACTTTGTAGAAGTGGAAAATTGATGACGTGCCAGGCATTGGGCAAATGGCTTTGCACACATTAGTTCATTTATTCCTCCCAGCAACTCTATGGGGTTATTTTCCCATTTTATAGATGAGGAAACTGAGAGCTGGAGAGAGTAAACACAGCAAGTAATTACTGAGCCAGAGTGGGACCCTTCGAAGCCCGTGCTCCCAGCTCTGTGACTTATGGGGCAGGTTCTCCCTCCTAGAGCTTTACAGGCAGACGGACTGAAAACTGAATGGCTTATTGTGCTCTGCAGTGTCCCGAATGAATAACGCTGGCGGAGGGAGCCTGTTGCTCTGTGGGCTGATGTGTGGTGTTACTGCTCGGGGCAACGAGTGCTGCAGGGACAGGAAGTGCCATGTGCACACAGGGCCTTTGAGGGCTGAGAAGAGGGGCAGTGGCTGCACCTGAAGCTGCATGTTTGTCTGGGTGAGTTCTTCAGCTTTCTTTTCCAGTGACATCACCCAGACCTTCCTCTTCTGTCTGCAGCGGGTGGCGGCGGCCCGGTTCCGTTCCAGAAATTTCCGCCTCCTCTCATCCGGATCCTCATCCACCACCCTTCGCCGGCGCCCCCCTGTGGGCTGGGGCGGCTGTATTGTCTGGGTTGGCTGCATCTGCTGCGTGGCTGGTGAAACCTGCTGGGAAGCAGAAGGAGGGATGACAGGTTGGGGAGGGAACAGACACCCAAGCCGGGGTTGACGTGCAAAGCGCAGCCGAGTCCATGGCTTTAGTAGCATCTCAAACTGGTTTTCTAACAGTGCAGTAAACAGTGACAGCTCTTGCGCTCACAGAAAGCAAAAGCATCCACTGAGCTATCTTGCATGATATTTTGACAAGATAAACTGATGACTTGTGAAAAGATAGTCAAACAGATTTTCCCCTACAGGCACTGGCTGAACCCTGGCAGAGGAACACATTGTTTCTCCTCCTTCAGGTGCTAAAACTGTTTTACTTAAGGTACGTTTTAAAATGGTAAAGTGCCAGTGTCTGGCTGCAGGTGAGCACCAAGAGGTCAGGGTTAGTGTCACAATATGGAGAGTCTGCTGTGGTCAGCGGAAAACCCCGTCTGGGCAGGTCGGGAGCTCCTGTCATCCTAATGCTGTTAAACTCTGTTCCCAGGGCACAGCTCTGGGACCTCATCCCACTGTCACTCCCCTCAGAAGATCCCGTGAACCCCCGAAAGCAGTTGGAATCCTGTGTTCACTGTTTCAGGGTGTGACTAAGGCGGAGGGAGTCAGAGGAGGCGTTTCTAGGCGATTGGGAAGCAGGGTCTTTACAAGCAGGCATTGAGCAGCACTGAGCCCTCTTATACACTGCGTGGTGTGACAGGGAGGGACTGTTGTGCTTCCCCATTTACAGCCATTATAAGGAAATCCGAGGAGTGGCAAAGCACTTTATTAAAAAGTTTTACTGTGCTTATAGAGTCCCTGTAAGATCTGCTTGGGGCTCAGCCACATCTAAGGTTTGGGAGACCCCCACATACACAGGTTTATTCCCTCCATGAGGCTGATACACAGTGCCCAGTGAAATTTCTACCACGGACTCTTTATGTCTCTGGACACTAACCCTTTCTTCACTCCCCTTCTTCATTCTCAATAAAGGGTGTTTCTCTTCCCTCCCCCCCATTTCTCAGTCACTCCAGCTTAAGGCTGTAATACCTATAAAGTTGTTTTTCAAGGGACATTTAACCTGCTGAAATAACAGGCAAAAGTTTTAAAAGTGAATTCCAGCAACCTTTTCTACCGCATTCTAACCCTGTGATTGAAATCAATCAGAATGACTGTAATTGTGCTAATAATGGCCACTGGTTGACATCAGCTGACTGCTGGTGATATATTTCAATCTCAAAATCTATCAAACATTGTATGACTAACTGCAAAAGCATCAGGCTCGGGCTTGAGGTTGGACTGCCTCTTGGTAATTTTATTTAAAGCTAAGATATTTTCTAAAATGTTTTATTGTTGATTCCTTTCCTCCCCATCACAGAGGAATAAGAAAATAACTTGTTTAAGGTATTACCCCACCTGAGTGGATACAAAGGCATGATCCTTGTTACTGGAAAAGGGTTAGCTCTTGTCCTTTCAGATGTTAACTTCTGAGCTATCACCACAAAGGTGACTCTATAAGCATTAGAGGGAACTCATGACCTTGGCTATTTCTGCCTTTACCATTTCATTTTGTGAATTAGTGGTCTCTAGATAAGACTCTCAAGTAGGCAAAACTGGGTTTTAATTTCCACTGCAGGGATCGTTTTTCAATACTATGTTCTCCCACTCTAACCAACCTTTATCTTTTGACACTTTTTAAAAAAATACACTTTTGTTGATTTCAGAGAGAGGGAGAGAGAGAGAGATAGAAACATCAATGATGAGAGAGAATCATAGATGGGCTGCCTCCTAGTGGGGATCGAGCCTGCAACCCGGCATGTGCCCTGACTGGGAATCAAACTGTGACCTTCTGGTTCATGGGTCAATGCTCAACCACTGAGCCACGTGGGCCAGCCATCTTCTGACACTTTTCCTGTGCTTCACCCAAAGGGGTAAGTTATATGGTGGCTTCAGATTCAGTCCAGGTTCAGGGTTCAAGGTGTTCTACAATTAAGAGAAATTTCTCCTGGCCAAGGAGTGACACCAGGACTCTGAAATTACATCCTTACATTCAAGAGAATTACAAAAAGCCAGGAGAAATTGCAAATGCAACCCTAAGGCCAGATTTGTGTCCCTGGTAATATTGTTACCTATCACTTTATTTTTAAAAATGGATTTCTGTTGGTATTGATGCTCTGAAAATTTTGACCAAAGAGAATGAATTGTGATTTTAAAAAGACAGAATTTTTCCAAATCATCTTCAGCCCTAGTTGGTTTGGCTCAGTGGTTAGAGCGTCGGCCCGAGAACTGAAGGGTCGCAGGTTTAATTCTGGTCAAGAGCACATATCTCAGTTTCAGGGTTGCAGGCTCGGTTTCCACTCTGGGGCACATGCAGGAGGCAACCAATCAATGTGTCTCTCTCACATTGCTGTTGCTCTCTCTCTCCCTCTCCCTTCCACTGTCAGTCTAAAAAAAAAAAGAAAAGAAAAATAAAATCAATGGAAAAATATCTGAGGGTGAGGATTAAAAAAAAACAACCCCAAATAAACTTCTATTCCTACTATTCTGATAATAATCATACAATTAAGCAATACAACAAGCTCTCAGAAATTAGCCAAGTTTAAGAGTGGTATTTTCAATACCATCTAAATGATCTTGTTCAAATTTTAACAAGACCAACTTGGATTCTTTCTTTTTAGTATAGGATAAAAAAAACAACTGTTTGTGCATCTAATTATAATAGCAATGAACTAACTGCATATAGTATAATTGGCCTATATAAGCTTACTTGAAATGGAGGGCAATTGGCTAACTGGTAATTAGTTAATGAGTAGCTTTTATATTCAAGGAACTGTTAAACTTGTCTGTACACCAAGGCAACCAAAATTTGATGTTATCCTTCCCCTTAAAAATAAGTACACATGTGAATCTCCTTGCCTATTTTTGACCTTACAGTTTTCTTTCTCCCTTCTAAATACATGTCCCACTATGACATTTGACTATAAAGGTGCTTTGGATAGTATTTTATTGCTATGCTCTTGCTCAACTTCTATCAAATTCCTTGGCTTTAGAGGTAATCATGGCCAACATGTAATGAAAACCATGCTAAGGGCTTTGCAGACATTTGCTTACTTAATGCTCCTAAGACTCTATAAGCTTAGTCTATTATTACCCCATTTTGCAGATGGAAAGACTGAGGCTTAGGGAGGTTAATCTGACCACTGTCACACAGGAGGAAGTAAAGTGGGCAAAGAATGGAAGTTTTCTCCAAAGCCTGCATTGTCATTTGCTATATTGAACACCTCTAAGAACCTTTGCAAAAGTAAGCTTATCTAGCAAATCAGCGTATCTACTGAATAGCTTGTGGATAACCCAGCCATGTGGATGGCTGTCCAGGTTTGGTGTGTGTTAGGGAAGGGGATCCAAGAGCTCAAGAAGCTGCCCGGTGTGAGGTCCAGAGGCAGACGATGAATAAGTGTTACTTGGCGGTCCTAAGCTTCGGACACCATTCTGACCCAGCTGCTTGGAAGCTGGCAGAGTGGAATGGGTGGAGGGGACTGCCAAAGGTCATCCTGCTTGAAGATCCAAAGTGTCTAGGGCTAGCCATGCTCCGAACATGCCCCTCATCCACTTACTAAAACTCACTCGGGTACACGGACCCGCCTCTCCTGTTGGGCTGGGTGACATAATGTCTGCCTGGTCCCCCAACTCTCTTTCAGTTGAGTCTAAATGCTGGCTTCCTTTCTAGCCACTCCTGGTGACTCCCACCCCCTGGGACTTGGCCCTTCTCTTGAACTGATGATCTACAGAACTTGGCTCTCTGTCCGCTCCTCCAACGCATTTCACAGTGGGCGGGATGACTCACCTTTCTTCACCATTTACACAGCACCTTATGCCCCGACATCCATTACCGAGCCTCTTTGTCTGCCTGGAATTGTTACTCTTTAGATTTTTAGCATGTAATGTTATTTAGAATATTGCCCATTGTATTTAACTTCCATTTTACAGGAGACAAAATGGAGTCTTTATAATGTTTTGAAGCACTGTAGCTAGAACCATAGTTAGCATTAACCTTTTTTCTCATTCTTTATCCACACCTTTCTTCACATGCTTAAATTCTTTCTACTCTTCACATCAATAATACATTTTTAGGGTTAACTTCGTAACACACTGCAGAAAGAGATTTTGGAGAACTTGAAGTTTACATTTGTCGCTGGAGTTTAGAGCTAAAATTTACTGTATTACTTATAGAAACTATGATCTGGTAGTATTTTATGGGTAGCCATTACCTCCTAGGAAATGAACAAAGCTCCCCAGCGTGTCAGATAGAACATCGGGGCTGGTCAAACAAAGTTGCTGCCCATGACCCCCCATAAGAGCTTGTACTGTTAACAGGAAAGGGGAAGAGATCACAAAAAGGGTCTACCTGTGCTTGGTTGCCGGAGTGCAGGGGTGGGTGTGGCGAGGTTTGGTGATGTGCTGGGTGTGCATGAAGGTGGGAGTGGGAGTGATGATGCGGGTGGTTCTGCTGGTGATGAGGCTGAGGATGGGGGTGGTGAGCTGGGTGCTGGTGCTGGTGTGGGTAGGGGTGATGGGCTGGTAGTGTCTGGTGCTGATGTGGGTGGGAGTGCATGTGATGGTGCGGCGTCTGGTCCTGCCGAGAGCCCATCATTTCCATCATGTGTCCCATGGTGTTCATATTCCCATTTGACATGGCAGCAGGGTGGTGAGTCAACGCAGCCTTCAGCCTCTGAAACAACAAAACAAGAGGGGACAGTTGAGGTCAGTCATGTACACAGTGGGGATTCTGAATCAAAATGACTTGTGTTTCCAGTTCGGTAATATTTTATGGTGCTAGTGGTAACACTGTTTCACTGGTAGCAATTTGACTTTTATATTAATTTCATGTTTTCATATATAATATGGTAGGTCTGAGGGCCAATGCCAGTCATTAATGACCATTTCACAGCAAATGAGCAGGATAGCCTATCAAGATTTAGACATTCTACTGAAACATATTTCCCATTGTCCATATGTTTATCATGTCCTATTGACAGCCAAATACAAGTAAGAACCAATTAAAACCATTCACTATGATAATGCCACTGAGCACAGGGCCCAGCTGATGTGGCTCTGCATTTTGTAAAAGTCACAAGAATAAAAGGTTTTTGCCTTTCAAAAGATTTCTCAGACACAGAAAGGAAGTAACTACACGTTTTGAAATATAGGAACTACTAATGCTATTTAAGTTTCAAATTAGATTATAATCCATCACTTTTGGAGGCAATATGTAGGTCTTTTCCATTTGTTACCATGATATGCTAGTAACTCATAGTCCCTCCATAGTCACACAGTAACTATCTTTTGACTCCGGAAGGAAGTGAGGAAAGTTGAAGATTACAGCTTCTCTGATGCCACATCAACAGGTCTGTGTCTAACACAAAAGCATTATCTATTCACCAGCAAACAGACATGCACTCGAGTAAGCAGGGCTCAACCAACTTTTTCTAAAGGGAGTCAGAAAGCAAATATTTTCATCATTATGCCTTAGGGTCTCCTGTCATAAGACTCAACTCCACCCTTTGAGTGCAAATGCAGCTGTAGAAGGTATGTAAATGAATGATCCTGTTGTGTTTCCAGTACAACTTTAGTTAGGGACAGGAAATTTGACTTTCAAAGGATTTTCACCTGACCTGAAACGCTTTTCTACTTTTGATTTTTTAAATTAATTTAAAAAAATGCAAAAACCATTGTTAGCTCCTGTGCTGTGCAAATTAAGTCACGGGACAGACTTGGCCCATGGACCATCATTTCCTGGCCCTGATTTAAAAAATCAGTTGGTAATCAGCTTCGTTGCAGTTTCTTGAAAATTGTTTTTTCTTCTATACAGACATTTATCATCATATCCTGAGGGGCCCCGCGTGCTAAGTACTGTATAATACAGTGACTGCTTGGAAATGTATCTTCTGCAGAGATGATAATCTAGTTGGCAAGCTCACATTGGCTTCATAAGGTATTTACTAGGGAGCTAAAGTTCTCTCCTGATTTGTGTTCTTATCTGATTGATAACAGTGGGGTGTGAGCACTGTGGAAAAAGAAGAGTCAGAGTCATATTTAAATGATCAAAGTAACCACGTTGCAGCCCTGTACAAAATTAATGATTCTCAACTGGTCAGAGTAAACTATTGATAAATACCAATTCTATCCATCAATGTCTTTACTTAAACATAAAGAACCTCCACTTAAAAAAAGAAAGGGGGTGGGGCTTGGCAGACCTATCTGTTAGTTATTGAAAACATTTCCTACATCCTCATTCAGTAACTACTGAGCCCACTTGCCTCCTCTTTCCTGAGCAATAGCTATGGACCTTGATCATGGAAATCCTGAAGAAGTTGTTTCCTGAATTCCTAGGAAAGATTAGATGCTGGATACTGGGTTTGCTACTAATGAACGAAGTGAACTGATACTCCTCACCTCCAATTTTTAGAAATGATGTCATTGTTTTAATAAAAATGCTCATTATAAAACATTTAAGCAATGCTTAAAAGTACAATGAAGTCAGCAACAAGTGAACCAAATGCATTGTTTATATTTTGTGGGAGAACAGCATTCCCGACAACTCTCTGTATGCACATGTAGATGGAGGAACACGGAGAATCACTTCACACCAGTGGGATCATGATAGCATGC